ATGTGTCAGACTTCTCTAGCTTTCGCCTAATTATTGACAGTTAAGTACCGCTTAACAAGGGAAACACATTCTGAAAAGTGCAATTGCATCATTAGGAGACTGTACTGTTGTGAAAACCTACACTATGTGTTATAGCCTATTGCTCCCAGGCTGTAAGCCTGTACAGCATGTGACTATACAAAACGACAGAGATTAAATTGAGCACAAGATAAAATGGTGCACTCAAGAAACATGATATTCACAATATATATGATACTGCTGTCAGTTAAACACAGCATACTGCTTTATAGCAAACTTTTTTAATAGGTAGAAAGAGTACATTCTAAAATAACAATTAAAAGTATAGCACAGTAAATTATAACCCAGTAACATAGTTGTTTATCTTATCAAGTATTATGTACATAATGGTATGTGCTATACTTTTATAGGACTGGCAGCGCAGTGAGTTTGTTTACACCAGCATCACCCCAAATATGTGAGTAATGCATCGTCCTACAATGCTATGATGGCTATGACTTGAAGGCAAAAGGAACTTTTTAGCTCCATTATAATCTTAGTAGAGGCCTGGTGCACAAAATTCATGCACGGGTAGGGTCCCTAGGCCTAGCCGGCAATCAGGGCCAGCCGGGGCCTTCCTTTCCTGGCTGCCGGTTGGGGTCTTCCTTCCCCAGATACTGGCCGGGGCCTCCCTTCCCTGGCTGCTGGCTGCCGGCCAGGGTCTTCTTTCCCTAGCTGCTGGCTGGGGCCTTCCTTCGAACCACGACACCTCCTGGTGGTCAGCGCAGGTCAAGAGAGGAACCGAACTCCGGTCTCCTGGTCGAACTCCCAAGGGGACACTTTGCATATTAGCCTTTTATAAATATAGATGGGACCACTGTCATATACACAGTCTATAGCTGACCAAAATGTCATTATGCAGTGCATAACTAAACTTTAAAATGTGCTAAGTTAAACTTGTGTGCAAATTAAAAACTCTCAATATATTTAGACTATGTTTTGGCTCACAGTACGGGTAAAATAAGTAACTTTCTGAGTGGCTAATAAACTTAGGAGGTGTATTGGCTCTATACATATTTCATTAGTTTAAAGGCTATCTTTTATTTAGTTTCAGATTCTCAGCTCTAATACTGATGCTTTAACTAATATTTCAACTTTCCTTAATTACTTGTCAAATACTATGTTTTTGTTTATTTCAACATTCTATTTCTACAATTTTATAAACCAACAGGCTTACCTATTATAAATTCATTGAAACTAAACATAGTTATAGAGAATATGCTTAACCTGGATTTGTTCTAGTTTCCTCAAGGGCAAGCAATTAGATATGGGCCATTTAGGCCACCACAGGTTCCATTATCCTGAACCTTTTTGCCCCAGGTAAAGTGGATTCTATGAAATACCTAAAGATTAAGTTAATCACTTTAAAGTCCTTACATGGCTTTTGTTTTAAATAATCAATAAACCCAAATTTTAGACCATGAAGAGATTGAAACTAACTTTGACTTTGGATATAGATACTTTAAGAGCATAAAAAAAGTTCAGGAATGTGTCCAAAACAAATATACTAGATTATTATATACCTTAACTTTACTTGTTCCTTACAGAGCACAACTTCTTCAATGCCTAAAATGTTAACGTGAAGATACATAAATGAGTCCTTCTTTTTTGGTTCTTGATATCCATTCTGAATATTTCAGTAAACCTTTAGTACAAACTTTGAAATAGCTCAGCTGAATTTCTGAAAGACACATAAAACTAGGAAGATGATCCTGAATACATTTTGTACTGTTTTCTTACTATGTATATTTCCAACTGCTGTAAATCTCACTTTGATTTCTATTTTCCTATTAAACGTGAACATTAGCAAAATTTTAAACTATGGATCAATTTTTAAAAATTATTTTAATTTCAGGCTGTCCCTTGAGGTATTTAGAAACAAATTAGCGTTCAGAATCCATGTCTTATATCAGACAAACATTGACACAGTGATTTAAATGAAAGAATATATAGGAAAGCCTTAGCATAAGGCCAGGCTAATTAGGAGACTCTGAATATAGACATTTATTTCCTAATCCTGAAATCCAAAGTCAACTGCATGCCTTCTCTTTATTTATTTTTTTAATTTTTATTGATTTCTTACAGAGAGGAAGGGAGAGGGATAGAGAGTCAGAAACATCGATGAGAGAGAAACACCGATCAGCTGCCTCCGGCACACTCCCTATTGGGTATGTGCCCGCAACCAAGGTACATGCCCTTGACCGGAATTGAACCTGGGACCCTTGAGACCCCAGGCCGAAGCTCTATCCATTGAGCCAAACGTTAGGGCTGCATGCCTTCTCTTTAAAAACAGGAGGAGTTTTAGGAAAATGAGAAAAAAGAGCTTAATAACTAACCGTCATGAAAAAAAAACCACTAATGCCCGGTAGGCATGGCTCGGTGGGTGAGCATCAACCTATGAACCTTTTAAAAGCAATTTGGCTTCAACAAAATGTTTATATCCAAAGGAATAACACAAAAGTAAGAAAATATTACATGCAAGAAAGGTTTTGATTGTAACACTATGTATGTTATCAAGTATCAGGAAGTCACAGTTTGGTCAGGGCACATGCCCAAGTTGTGGGCTCAATCCCCAGTGTGGGGTGTACTGGAGGCAGCAGATCAATGATTCTCTCTCATCCCTGATGTTTCCATCTCTCTCCCTCTCCCTTCCTCTCTCTGAAATCAATAAAAATAAAGTTTAAAAGAAGCAAACCGACTAGCAAATCTAAAATCTGATTCTATTTGTCAAAGCATATATATACTTTGAAACACATCTAATTTTTAACAGACCAATAAAAGATTCAAACTAAAAATTTAGTTCAAAGACTAATTTTGTTAACCAGTATTAATTTATTATATACAATGAATAATTTATTAGTAGATTGTGCTCTTCTTAATGCTCTATTTAATGGTTTATTTAACTGATTTGATGGCTGCTATCCCCATTAGGGACAACAAAATAATTCAGAATATTCTATTTATGCTCCACTTTCATGGTTAATTACTTTTATTTAAACAATACCATGACACCTCCATCCCACCCTCATCACAATTTATGGTAATACAGCAGATAAGTACTGTCTTTAAAAGCAATTTGGCTTCAACAAAATGTTTATATCCAAAGGAGTACACAAAAGAAAATATTACATGCAAGAAAGGTTTTGATTGTAACACTATGTATGTTAGCAAGTATTTTCAACTTTAAAATATTCAACAATTTAAAAACACAGATAAGTTTAGCACTGTCTAGTAGGGTTCACTATGTAGATAGTGCACACCTCTAGATATACACAGATAAGTTTAGCACTGTCTAGTAGGGTTATCTATGTAGGTGTGCACTATCTACATAGTCTATCACTATGTAGATAGTGCACACCTCTAGATTCATATCCTAGAGAAACCTAGAACACATACACCGTAATAAAGCTTATGTTTGTGTGAAAGATGCATGTGGAGTGTAAGGAAGAATGGAGAATCGTGTCTATTTTATAAACTGTACTTTTCATAGAGAAAAATACATACTCAGATTATGTGTTGAACTTCACAATTATGTAATCACTGAATACAATCTTATGAAAAGTACTGAATTGAAGCCTTTTGCCCATCCAGTAATACTGCTTCTCTTCTGGAAGCAAAAATCTCTATTTAAAAAAATGTAATCACAAAGCAAACCAAGATGCACTGAACTCATCACAGATGAAATCTTTAGTTGAGTGGCATAGAAAAATAAGCATTCTTATTTCGTTAGTCAATGCTCCTGCAAACAGAAATTTATAATTATATAAAATAATTAAACTAAAAATACTGTTTCCCAAACTACCGTTTCACCTATCCTCAATCCCTTTCTGCCAAAGACCAGTCTAGGTTTTAATCTAAACAGAACTGTTTCCAAGTATACTATTATGAATTCAATTGGTACAAATCTTTTTCCCTTCTCCCAAACCTCAGCCATAGTCAGGATTCAGTTATGTTCTCCTTTCCACACTATAAATGAAAATATAAGTAAATCATAGAACCCTGGAATCCCAATTATGAAATAAGTGATTAACTCCAATGTGTTTAGGGACATCAAACAATTTGAATGTAACCAGTGTTAAAAATATTTTTATCTGCCTCCTTTACTAATATGTACACACTGACAAATAACCAATTCTGAAAACAGCCTTATTAGTATGACAATAAACTTTTATTTCACAATCCATAACAATGGGCCTTATAATGAATATTCAATGTACCAATACCATGATCTACTTAAGTAGGCCCAAACGGAGTCAACATAATAAATACATTAAAATCTGAAATGTTCTGGTTTTTAATCATTTAAAATCTATGAAGAAATTCAGTAATATCTCTAACTCAGATTCTGAAATTAGTTCATACTAAATTAGAAAGTGAAGTTTTAAATTCGTTTCTGCACCTTAAGCTATGAACCTTGGCCAAGTTATAGAATGCAAAAATCCAAATTTCCTCATCTGCAAAATGGAAGGACACTATTACATCTGCTCTGGTTATCCCACAAGGCTGATAAAAAGAAGAAATCAAATAATCTATGTAAAAATTCTCTGAAAAATATAAAACACAAAGCAGACAGAAGATGTGATTATTAGTAATAAACAGTTATTATCCCAAGATGGTCAAGTTACACTGAAGATGAATTACTGTATTCTAACAGAAAAAAAAAAATCTGTTATGCTTATAAGGTTAAATTTCTTTTTTTAAAGATATGCATTTAATTTTTTTAATAAAAGAACAAAAAATTGAATAAAAAAATAAAAGGAGGAAAATATACTGACAGAATTAGAATAATACAGGGAATTTTTTCCCAAAGTAAGGGGAACACATATTACTGTGAAATAATTTGTGAAAGGCAATGTCATTTTAGATTAGGTGGAATGAAATCATGGTAGGAAACAAATATAGTAACATTTAATATTTATTTAACATTCAATATTTAAACTCACCTCTGCCCATTTAAGAATACAGGTCATACAGAAGACATGATTACAGCTTTCTGGAAAACCAACTTCCTTCTCTAATAGGCAATTAAGACATATTGGACATCTGTCAGCTTCACTGTATAACAAACCAGCGGTAGCAGTATTATCTTTGTCTTCTTCACCTGTAAAGTAAAGCAGCCATATATGCTTTCAAGTTCTCCAGACCAAATGACATATCTGTGTCAGTATCATGGACTACTACAAAGTAATAGTCCTTTCTACTACAAAGTAATTCAATCTAGATACATTACAGTAAATATACTCATTGAGCACAATGCCCCCAATATTAATTTATGTTTTTTAATAAGGAAGTGAAAATAATTTTTCATTCATTTAATTTTAAAATAATAGTGACATGGTTAAAAACTTTAGAAGTAAAAAGAAGATTATACTTGTAGTGACCAATCTTCCATTTATATCTACATCTAACCATCCAGTTCTACCCAATGTTTCACAACGGTTAAGTTTCTTCTCTATCCTTTCAAGGATTTTTTTTAATGCATAGACAAGCAAATCCTAATGCATGTTCTTTCAAACCTCCTTCATACAAATGCTAGATCACAATAACACACCTTCTGCTTTTGTTTGTTTGACCTATTGAATGTTCACTTATTTTTAACCTTTGGCTATTACAACAATGCTGCAACAAAAAACTTTGTCATTAAAAACTTTACGTTTTTAATAGTACATAGGATTAAATTCACAAAAATGAAATTTTTAGGTCAGTATGTATGTACATTTCTAATTTGAATAGATACACCAAATTATACCCCTTACAGTTTGCACTAATTTAAACACTCAGCCAGCCATGTAACCAACATACAAAGTTACACACCGCTAACTCAAAATAAACACAGGAAACACCAAGATTCAACATAAAACAAAACAAAAATAAAGAAATGGTCAGCTGAAATATGAAAAGTATACACCACACAAATGGGAAATCTGGGATTGTCCTGGGAGCAAATGTCCACACCAGTGTTCAGATCTGGAGATTAAGCCTTAGGACCAACCCAGGTGGGGAAACTGTTTCTGGGAGACTCCCATATTAATCAAAGACCCTCTAATGGTGCTAGTGGTTCCAGAATGGGTTAGGGGAAAACAAATACAACCTTTGGAAGAAGCATCCCTAATTTAGCCCCCCAGGATTCCATAGATTAAATTTACCAAATATTAGCTCATTGCCAAACCCAGGAAAATAAACTGCCTTGAGTAAGAATCTGCAGAAACGCCGAAACCGGTTTGGCTCAGTGGATAGAGCGTCGGCCTGCGGACTGAAAGGTCCCAGGTTCGATTCCGGTCAAGGGCATGTACCTGGGTTGCGGGCACATCCCCAGTAGGAGATGTGCAGGAGGCAGCTGGTCGATGTTTCTCTCTCATCGATGTTTCTAACTCTCTATCTCTCTCCCTTTTTCTCTGTGAAAAATCAATAAAATATACTTAAAAAAAAGAATAATATACTGAGATTCAATAGTAGAGTAGAGGATCCCAAACATCAAGTCAAAGATTTGAAATAAAAGGAAACAAAAAACACTCAACTGGAAAAGCAAAAAGAAAAATGAATCCAAAAATATGAAGATAGTGGAAGGAGCCTATGG